AGTATACTAACACATATATATGGAATTTAGAAAGATGCTAATGATAACCCTATATGCAAAACAGAAAAAGAGACACAGATGGATAGAACAGACTTTTGGACTCTCTGGGAGAAGCCGAGGGTGGGAAGTTTCAAGAGAACAGCATCAAAACATGTATATTATCTAGGGTGAAACAGATCACCAGCCCAGGTTGGAAGCATGAGACAAGCGCTTGGACCTGGTGCACTGGGAAGACCCAGAGGGATCGGGTGGAGAGGGAGGTGGGAGGGGGGATCGGGATGGTGAATACATGTGAATCCATGGCTAATTCATGTCAATGTATGACAAAAACCACTTCAATATTGTAAAGTAATTAGCCTCCAATTAATAAAAGTAAATGAAAAAAAAGAAAAATGTACATAAAAAGATAGTCAATCCAGCATTATTTAAGTAAAAAAAGGAAACCACCTTTACATGAATGTTCATGGCAGCTTTATTTGTAACATCTAAAAACTAGAAACCATCTAAATGTTCTTCAACAAATGAATGGCTAAATAGTTATGAGTGGTTAAACATTCATACCATGAACATTACTCAGCTATTAAAAGGAATGCCCTATTGATTACATGCAACAACATGAATGAAGCTCCAGAGTGTTAATGGCAAGTGAAAAAAATCAATCACAAAAGGTTACATACTATATGATTCCATTTATATAAAATCCTTAAACTGACAAAATTATAGAAACAAAGAGAACAGATCCTGATTGACAGAAATCTCGGTGGGCAGGGTAGACTGAGGAGGAAGGAGATGGGTGTAGCTATAAAGAGGCAATAGTAACGATCTTCATGGAGATAGAAATGTTTTGTATCTCAACTGTATAAATGTCAAATGCTGCAAGTTGTTACCACTGGTGAAAACCAAGGTAAAAAGTACTTTGGTGTCTCTGTATTATTCCTTATAAATTACATGTGAATCTACAATTCTCTCAGCATTGATAGTTTAACTAAAACTAAATTTTAAAAGCAGGATAAGGAGAAAAAATAAGTCATAGTCAAGGTTAAGAAGCACTGCTCTGAATGCTGTCACTGACTCAGTTATAAAACCATAAAGAGCAAATGATTTGGGGTTTGTAGAATGGATGCACCGAAATGACATAAAAAGTGAGGTCTATAGGCAGAAACAGAGGAAAGAGTTGGAGCAATGCAGGAAAAGTGTCCAGGGCCCTGTGATTTCATGAAAAAGCTTGGATGTGTGGGTGGGGACTATCCATGGATCTTAGTTACATTTCCCCCAATACAACTTCCAGCTAAGAAGGTAGGTGGGTTATTGCCATTCCCTGTCTACAAATGATAAAGCTGAGGTTCACCGAAGTTACATAAACTGCCCAAGATCACCTGACTACTTTGTGACAATGTGAGAATTAATAATTCCACACTTTTACTTAGCTTTGGCTTAAATAAAAATTTTAAAAATGCAATATCTTACTAAATTATAAAGGCATAGAAAATTGAGCATCTCATAGTTCAAACTGATGTTCTCTAGGTATTTGAATTAACCTCTGAGAACATAAAGAGTCTCAAAAATAAATATATATGACAAAGTTAAAAATGTATTTCTTTCTTTTTTTTTTAGGTCACACTGTGCAGCATGCAGGATCTTAGTTCACCAACCAGGCCCCAAACCTGCGCCTCTACATTGGGAACACAGTCTTAATCACTGGACTGCTAGGAAAATCCCTAAAACATATTTCTTTGAAATATTCTCTAGACCCCTGTCAGTTAAATACACATAAAGGTAAAATGTTTACATAAATACTTCAGCTTTTAGAGAAAGTAAGTTAAGTTAGTATGAAAGAACATTTAAAAATAATTATTTAACTTCATGACTCAGGGAACTCAAACCAGGACTTTGGTACAACACAGAGGGGTAGGAAGGGGTGGGAGCTGAGAAGGGAGGTTATAGAAGGAGGGGACACATGTATACCTATGGCTGACTCATGTTGATGCATGGTAGAGACCAACACAATATTGTGAAGCAATTTTCCTTCAATTAAAAATAAATAAGTTTGGGGGAAGAATAGTACATAAAGCACTTCTAAGCAAGACAGAAGATAAAAACTATATGACAAAGGTTCAAAATGGAAAAAAGTTATTCATACTGACCTAGTTCAACAGGTTTTTCCAGATGCAGCAAAGACAGATCATCATTGGGAGGAAATTGTGTGAAGCTGGGGTGAATGTACACAGCTTTCACTGGTATCAAATCACTATTTCTTATATTCCCCAGGTAACTTCTTCCTATTACCAGGTAGTCTGTGACAGTACTTGTCACAAGAAAAGGGAGTGAGGAAATAGATTCCACTTTTAATTAGGCCATCATTTCTCAGAATTACTAAAAATATATTTTTTTACATTTCTAACCCACATTAAAATCCTTATTACCTTGAATTCTTAGGAAACAGAGGTTTCTTATTAATTCAGCCCTTGAGAAAAATTTTAAAGTATCTACTTCCTTGTCTTCATAATGTCAGATAAAACAATTCAGTATTTTTTATTACAATTAATATTCATGCTGCCTCAATGTAATAATCATATGTATTATAATCATAATATTATGCATTATATGATATACTTATGTAATGGTCACTGAAACTATTCTGAAAGTTATATTTACTCCCTAATACAGTGTTTCTCAAAGAAATGTCTAAGGATCACATGCATTAAGTCTAGCACAGGTATTAAAAGTGCAGAATTCCAAACATAACTCATCAAATCAAAATTCAGAATTAGTACTCTAAGATTCCATTTACAGCAAACTCCCCAGGTAATTTTAAGCACATGAAAGTCTGTAACTGTCTTAATAAGGATGCCTTCTTATGATTTATCTGTATCAAAAGTAAGAGTTGGGGGATAGTATAGATACTGAGTTTTTAGTTCACTGAAGGCTCATGACCACCACATTATTTGATTAGATGCTTTTATTGTAAAGCCAATCTAGAGACACTGAAAATGTTGCATCTACTTGCTCAGATATGGGACACTGTTCAACAGCATTAGCTGTCATGCTACTTCTAGGAGATAATACTAAAAACGTGAAGCTAAGGCTCCTCTGAGGGAGTTTTCAGACATCTCGGTATCATATTAAGATCAAAGGTCAGATAAAATCAAAGAAAACAAATGTTCCTTTTTTAAAGGACATTCCTTGAAATTCTTTCACACTTTACAGATTTATTTTGGGACTGGGCATGCTGTAGCTGAAACTCCAATACTTTGGCCACCTCATGCGAAGAGTTGACTCATTGGAAAAGACCCTGATGCGGGGAGGGATTGGGGGCAGGAGGAGAAGGGGACGACAGAGGATGAGATGGCTGGATGGCATCACTGACTCAATGAACATGAGTTTGAGTAAACTCCTGGAGTTGGTGATGGACAGGGAGGCCTGGCGTGCTGTGATTCATGAACTGAACTGAACTGATGATCATCAGACAATCCATAGGAGAGTAAGAAGGAAAGGAAGCCATGTATGAGCAACCCCTGGGCTCTAGGCTCCGTGCTGAGAAACTGATGCAAAAGTGTGAGATCTCCATTTTTATGGTTGAAAGGGAGGGTGTTGTTAGTTACTTACTAATTAAATTATACCTAGAAGCAGAAAGCTGCTCTTAGAATTAAAAGCTATTAGAAGTAATTTTATTAGTGAAGCACAGAAAGTTTCATCAACCTAAGACATTCATTCATTTGCAAGTTGGGGACTGTATCAGTGGGAGCTGGTGCTTAATGTTTCTCATGATGTGGGGAGAGGAGGAGTGCACCCACCATGGGTCCTTAAATAGCTCCTCATCACCACCCGCCCCACCCCAGAAGCCCCACCCAGGTACGCACCTGAAGTTACAATGTGCCGCTGTCAGGACCCACTGCCTCCCAATCAGAGCCCCTCCACAGTAGTGACGTCCTTGGTGCTGCAGACTGACCAGCCAGGGCCATGACATCACAGGGGCTGCATGGCCACCAACCACCCTTGGCTCCCCAACCTCTGAAGGCAAGAGATTTGTATTCCTCTCAAACCCTTCAGTGAGAAGAGGGTCAACAAGTGGAACTCCACACGAGTCTTGAGCTGGCTGTCTTCTGGTATTGTTTTCTACTGTGAAAGTGAAAGCGAAATCACTCAGTCGTGTCCGACTCTTTGTGACCCCAGGTTCCTCCGTCCATGGGATTTTCCAGGCAAGATTACTGGAGTGGGTTGCCATTTCCTTCTCCAAAGCCCTTAGAAAAAACAACAGCAAAACATTAGATAGCAATACTTATGAAGATCTATTTAAATCTCAGAAGGCATTTATTCCTTTTGTCGGTTCAAAACTAGCATTATTTGCAAGAGATGAGACTCATCTTTTCTTCCAATGCTTTTAAATGAGCAAAAGTCGACAGTTTACTAAGGTACTAATATACACACCATGTTAATATACTCATATCAATACATATATATTTTGATGAATTGGAACATAAATCAACTTTTTAAAAAATAAATTAAAATGTTGCACTTAATCATGAAATTATTGGAGACTGTTCTTTCTGTAGCATCATTTGTGTTATCCCAGTACATATATTTAGACACATCAAAATATTTTATGCTCCGTGTATTCAAAATAAGTTGTATATATGAAGGAAAACCATAAGGAAAATTTATAGCAATATGTTTACTCCATTCTCAGATTTAAAAAGAAATTTACCAGAAAGTAAAAAAGAGACAGTTAAGCATTTCCTTAAATATGAAGAAAGCTAAATTTTTCCATAATCTTATAATTTTGGAGTGATAGGATATATTCCCAACCCAGGGATCAAACCCAGGTCTCCTAAGATATGCTCTCTTGTTAATTCTTTACTTGAGATTATTTTTTACACCAGAAAGCTATTTAAAACAAAAAGTTTATAGCACAGTGGATTTGTACTTGTTTATTCAATACTTAAGTAAAATCATTTCTACTTTCTTTTCAGAAATGTATAAAACATGGATTTCCTCTTCCTTTAAAAATATGCAAACTCTTCAAAATTAAGACTATCCTGGACTTTAGGGGAAAAAAACCCACAAAAGGTATTTACTCAAACATGTTTTTTATGCATTAAGTTCACTGCATTACTATATGTTTTTATTGCATTGTAATCCACATTTTATATGGTAACTCAGATTTTTGGGCTGTTTGTATACATGTATAATAGCAATACTTTATTAGTATTCAACTTACTTTACAATACTTTAAAAAAGAAATGAGGCTAAATATTTTTACTGTGAGAAAAAAGGGTCAGTTTAAGGATATAGCAATGAAAAAACAAAAACAATGGACACAGAAGAAGGGTCAATTAGGTGAGCAGGTCTTTAACAATTAAAAATCACATCTATAGGGNTAGTTTGACAATGATCATTCTAGGCTTGATCTCAGAAAATATTTAACTGTTTTCATTTTTAAAATGAAATATTTAAGTTCACAAGTAGCAGCAAAAAAAAAAAAAAAAAAAAATCACACCTATAGGACAATGTGGTTCACTAGTCTAGGACTCAAATTCAGGGCTCTTAGGAGAGTCTATTCATTTCACCATCCTAAGAAAGATTGTTGTTGCTTAGTTACTAAGTTGTGTGGCAACTCTTTGTGATCCCATGGACTGTAGCCCACCAGACTCCTCTGTCCATAGGATCTCCAGGCAAGAAATACTCAAGTGGGTTGACATTTCCTTCTCCAGGGAATCTTTCCAACACAGGGGTCGAACCCATGTCTCAAGTCTCTGGCACTGGCAAGTGGATTCTTTACCACTAGAGCCACCTGAAATCTTAAGATAGAGTGTCATAAAAAGAAAAAAAAACTTTGCATTCATGTGAATTAACCACTAGAACCACCTGGAATCTTTAGATAGAGTGTCATAAAAAAAAAACAACTTTGCATTTATGTGGATTATTTGAATTTTCCTGCTGTTACACTCTAATCAAGAAGATCTCCTAATAATAGATTCATTAGGTTTAGTCTTAAGCACAACTAATGGAACTCTAGCTTAAAATTAGATAGACTAAGTAGGAAAAAATCAGTACATTTGTTTCTATTTTATGCAGAAAAGTTAGTATATCTGAAATAGTTTGAGGGCTCTTCATGGTGGTGAGGAGATAGTTACTTAATAAAAGAGATATGTAAACAAAGACATGGAAACACATTGAACTCTCCTCTTGTTTCAGCTTGAAAGGCCCCACAGGATCTTTTAAATAAAGACTGTCTTTCATGTTTATTATTATTTCTTAATTAAAAACAACATACACACATATAGACATGTACACACCCCAATTAACTTAATTACCTCACATGATCTATGTGAACTGCCAAAGTTTCAGTCCTTAAGGAATGGTTTGAAATGAGTTTATCCTATTTTAGTATTAGAGTAAAGCGATTGCCACTGATCCCTAAACCAGTGGGCTCCAGGTCCTGTTTTAAGGCATATATGGTACCTGCTTTAGCAGATATTTTAAAACAATTACTTACCATTAATAGGCAGTTGGATCCCAATATTGCTTTTCTGTGATGGCTTCTGAGTCATATCTTCCAAAATCAGTTTAAAACCTCTTTCTCCCACAGACTCATCAGTTTTCAAGTTCACAGTTAGGTAAGCACCACTGGATATCCAGACAAATTCTTTCTTGGAGCCACATAAATGAGCTGCAATGTGAGATATACTCGATAATCAAAATACTTCTTCTGTGTAATTACATAGGTAAAAGAGGGAGAAGAGAGGGGACATTAAATTCCAAACAAATCTTGACAAAAGAATGATTATCAATAATGGAAGATCAAGATTTTGAGGATGAAATTCATGACTTGATTGAGACAATAAAAGGGTATAGATTTTTAAAGATCAAAGGGAAAAGACTGGGCTAGCAATTGATATGGAAACAATATAAATTTGTGTGGCAATCTTTGATTATAAGGATGGTTAAAGAAGCATTTCAATGAAGATAAATGGACAGAGAAATGGAAGTATATGTTGGTGTGCCCTCAAAATTCATATGTGAAAATCCTAATCCCCAGTGTGATGGTATTAGAAGGGGTGGCCTTTGGGGGTGATCTGGTCATGAGGGTGGAACCTTATAAACCCTTATAAAAGAGAACCCAGAGAGCTCTCTAGCTCCCTTTTTTGTCTTGTGGGGAGATAGCAAGAAGACAGCTATGAACCAGGAAGCAAACCCTCACCAGAGAGCAAATCTTGAACTTCTAGTCTTCATAACTGTGAGAAATAAATACTTGTTATTTAAGCTACCCAAACTAAGGCATTTTTATTATAGTAGCTAAAACTAAGACATATAGTCTGCCAAAATACAGACTAATGATGGTCCTTTCCTAATACAGAAACTCAAAAGTTGTCACAAAGATTGTCCTGATAAGTGACAGGACATTTGCTGTATTTTATCTGTATAAGCTGTAACTGAGATTCTCTCAAACTAAATGATACACTATTGATTTGTCTTAAAGATAATGTTTCTTGAAGAATCTGAGAAAGAGAGATGGGGAATAGGAGAAAGTTTCTCTCTATATCATTCTTATACTTGAAAAATCTGTTTGGTGACCTGGATGTGGTGGGTAGCTTTGGGGAGGCACCATGTCAAATAAAGGCAATCTGTGTAAAGTCAACTAACACTCTGGAAGTTTTAACATAATGAAAATGGGAAAATGTTATTCTGCTTTTCAAAAAGGAGATTGAGGGTTGGCAGAGGGGGAAGGGTAGGAGACCAAGAAAAACAAAGAGGATAAAGGATCTGCAAAGTCACATCAGTGAAGTAGTGTTGCTTAGTCCTTACAGGTTCAGATTCCAAGTCAAACTGCTAGTCTGGACTAGTTCTATGAGCTCTGTGGCCCAAGGCAAGTTATTTAACCTCTCTGCCAGTTCTCATTTGTATAACTTAGACTAAAAAAAAATGGGATTATATGAAGTTATATTTATGAAGCATTATAAACATTTACTAACTAACAAAACCTCAGTAAAATGTTATAGCAAATTATTAGGTGGTTTTTGAACACTTTAAGAAGGAATTAGTGGTCATGAGCAACTAGCATGGGATCCTCAACATGCCATATTAAATTAACCTAATTTAATTTTTGGAAAGAGCTAATTAGATGGTGGCTAGGGGGAATGAGATAAACTTAATGAATTTTGATTTTAGTGGAGCACTTAATAAAGTACCTTATTTTGTCCCTGTGAACAGATATAAAGTATAAGTGGATAATTATATGACTAGGGAGTGTCACAGCTGATTAAGTAACCATACAACATTAACCTGAAGGGAAGATCTGATGGGTATGAAAATAGTTCCATCCTCAGTTCTGCCAAGTACAGTACTGCTGTTAATGGCTTAGGTAGAAATACAGATAACACATTTACAAAACGTGTAGGTTTGAGATGGGCAGCTGGATGAGAAGTAAAGAGCTAGGTCAAATATAGAATCTTAGTGATAATTTAATCTTTCATCTAGCACTGAGTTCCTTCTAAAATAACCTTGGACATATGTTAGCTGGATTTGAAGATATTATGTGGAACTTATGAGCATTTATTTTCTTTTTAAACAGTTCTAATTGCTTGACAGTTCTTCCCTATGTTGAATCAAAAGGCATCAGTGTAACCATATGGTTAACTGATGGCCAAGGATATAAATGTTTGAATCAGAGTGCCTGGGCTTTAAACCAGCTTTCTTTACTTATTAATTATGTTCCCAGAGGCAAGTTAATCAAGATTTTTGTGTTTCCTTATATTTAAAACGAGGATAACACAACCTACCTCCATAGGACTGTTAAGAAGATTTGAGTTATAAGTTCTCAGGACTATGCATGAATAATGGTAAACATTCCATAACTATTAGATATTATTAGGCAGAACATGTTTTATACATGGCTGAGAGTCTATGGAAATTCCATAAATACTTGAAGAGGAGAAATTGTGATCCTGCTGTCTTCTCTCTTCTCTAAGATAAACATTCCCAGGTGTCCACACCCTTCAGCATCCTGGTCATTATGTTCTATGGATGTGTTCCAAATTGTTAGTGTTCCTTAAAATTGTTGCTTGACCAAAGATGATATTTCATAACCAGTATGTCAGGGACAACAACCAGACAGACTGGATATTTACAATGAAGACTCATGAGACCAAGTTAGTGAACGCCAGCTCAGTGCCAACACTAAATTTAACCATACAAGGGACCTTACCTCTTTTGTCATAATTCTTTACTAACAACACTGCGTTGAAATTTTGGAATCATTTGAGACTTTTGAAATTTGATTTCAGACATTCTGCTTCCCAAATTACCACTTTTATGTATCCTAATCTATTAGTATTCCCTTGCTATAACTGATCTCTCCATGACTTCTTACCCATAATCCCACAAATGATGTATATTCATCACTCTCTAAGGAAGTGAGAGATTTTACTGTAAAGGGAAGCAGAGAAATGGGGCAACAGTTAACTTTCTTGTTCTATTTTGATTTTAACTATGGGTAATAGTAGAATATGTTTGAAACTGATGAGAATGATAGAGGAGAGTGATGATGTCAGAGAAAGAATAACTAAAGGAAATTTATGACAAGCCGATAACTCTCAAATCTATATCTTAAGTCCAAACTTCAGGAGTTCTACTTCTAGCTCCCTACTGCCAACTCAACCTTAGATGTATCATGGCATTTAAAATTTAACATGACCCAAATAGATCTTTCACCACAAATCCATTTCTCCCTCTCGTATTTCCCATCTCTGTAAATGCCACCACCTCTGAAAACTTCCTACTATAAACTTAGGAGCCCTCCTTGATCTGCAGATCTGATTTCACATTTATTCCATCAAGAAAGCCTATCAGTTCTCCAGATCTGTCCATTCTACCTGCATTCCCTTGTTGCCATCCTCTTGCAAGGCAACATTACCTATTACCTGCTGCTGCTAAGTCGCTTTAGTTGTGTCTGACTCTGTGCGACCCCATAGATGGCAGCCCACCAGGCTCCCCTGTCCCTGGGATTCTCTAGGCAAGAACACTGGAGTGGGCTGCCATTTCCTTCTCCAATGCATGAAAGTGAAAAGTTCAAGTGAAATCACTCAGTCTTGTCTGACTCTGAGACCCCATGGACTATAGCCTACCAGGCTCCTCCGTCCATGGGATTTTCCAGGCAAGAGTACTGGAGTGGGTTGCCATTTCCTTCTCCTTACCTATTACCTAAACAGTACTAAAAGAACATTCTGCAATGATGGGAAGTTCAATATGAGTGCTGTCCAGTATAATAATTGTTCACTACATGTAGCAGTTGAGCAGTTGAAGTGTGGCTAATACTACATTCCATTTCATTTTAAAATTTGAATTTAAATAACAACATGGGTTAGACAGGATAGGTTTAAATTATCATAATAGCCTCATAACTGCAGGTGTAATTCACCCTGACAAGGGGGGAAGGGATAGTGAGGGAGTTTGGGGTGGACATGTACACACAGGTATATTTAAAATGGATAACCAACAAGGACCTACTGTATAGCACATGGAACTCTGCTCAATGTTCTGCAGCCTGGATGATAAGGGTGTTTGGGGGAGAATGGATACACATATATCTATGGTTGGGCTTCCCTTGTAGCTCAGTCGATAAAGCATCTGCCTGCAATGCAGGAGACATGGGTTCGATTCCTTGGTCAGGAAGATCCCCTGGAAAAGGAAATGGCAACACACTCCAGTATTCTTGCCTGGAAAATCCCATGGGCACAGGAGCCTGGCAGGTTACAGTCTATGGGGCCACAAGAGTCAGACACGACTGAGCGACTAAACACACATATATATGACTGAGTCTCTTCACTGTTCACTTGAAACTATCACAACATCATTACTATATTATCCGGCAATACACAATAAGAAGTTTTTTTAAAAAAATAATTCACTTGTTACTCTAAAATCCACTCCCAACATGGCAGCCACAGCAGCTCTCAAATTAGTTCCTTGTCCAAAACCTTTAATGACCTCCCACTGGATGGGAATAAAGTCCACTCATTACAATAACCTGAGCTGCATGATCTGAGGGCAAAACCTTCACCTTCTACAACCTCACCTCATTCCAGTCTGTCCTCACCCAACCTCTAGCCACTCTGACAGTTCCCCAAGTTACCAAACTCTTCCCATATTCCAGGCCTTTTTTTCATTTATTTTTTCATCAAATATTTATTTTCAGGTAGTACTTTAGACATCGGAGATAAAGCAATGAACAGGAGATTAAGTTCTGTTATCAGGATATTTTCATTAACAGATCTGTCCATTCTACCTGCATTCCCTTGTTGCCATCCTCTTGCAAGGCAACATTACCTATTACCTGCTGCTGCTAAGTCGCTTTAGTTGTGTCTGACTCTGTGCGACCCCATAGATGGCAGCCCACCAGGCTCCCCTGTCCCTGGGATTCTCTAGGCAAGAACACTGGAGTGGGCTGCCATTTCCTTCTCCAATGCATGAAAGTGAAAAGTTCAAGTGAAATCACTCAGTCTTGTCTGACTCTGAGACCCCATGGACTATAGCCTACCAGGCTCCTCCGTCCATGGGATTTTCCAGGCAAGAGTACTGGAGTGGGTTGCCATTTCCTTCTCCTTACCTATTACCTAAACAGTACTAAAAGAACATTCTGCAATGATGGGAAGTTCAATATGAGTGCTGTCC